ATAGGAATCTGTCGGCAAGATTTTTTGTCTAGTTTTGACTCTGTAGACTCGACATCGACAAATGAAACATTTGTATGTGGTATGTTATAATTCATCCTGTTTTTATGGAATATTTTTTTTAATAACCTCGGGTCACACATGATAAATTCGACAATATCGAGATAGTTGTTAGAATCGTACGATCGAAAATCTCCATCACAGACCATCAGCATTCACGGCATCGATAGTTTAGATAGTCCCGGAGACAGTGTCAATTATCTTTCGCCACATGTTCTGCTTCTGATATAGAAACACCAGCTCGTCGCTATCAATTATTATTGCACATCCTGTACGCTATAGATATAGATGTTGATACACTATGTGCTTGTCTATTTTGATTGTTAGACTACGGACTTATTAATCTGTAACGTGCGCTAGCGTACAAAACACAATGAAATGGAAATATTAATGAAATCTCGAAGAATTCGGTACTTACATTCTATTCGTATTCTAATTAAAACGTTCAATGAAAAGATGAGAATTTCCACTTAATTCTTGTATTCGTAAATCGAATTGTCTGCATATGAGCTCACACAAATATCCGCAGTCTAGTAATGATCGATGTCCTTTTAGAAATTAACGTATGCCAATCATTTAACAATATTTGAAGACGTTAATTTTATAATTACAGATGATTCCGTTTAAGCGACATATTCTGAAGCAGAATAAACAATATCATCTTTCCATTCTTGTAAGTCTTAAATTAACACGATTTCAAGATTAATTGCTAATCTATCGATGAATCCATGCAATCGTCGCATTCGAAACTCTTCTCGTATACTGGGTGTCGAAAAGTTCGATTTCCTATACTATCGGAATATAGTACTCACGAAATTGATTACAAAATATTACTCGAAAAGTCACGTAGCACGATGAAAGCGTTTATTCAATTTAGCGAGTACTGTACGTTCTGAAATATACTTAAAAAGTACTTTTCGTGAACACCCTGTATATCGTGGTTTCGTCACAGAACTCGATTAAGTCAGAAAATCACACCAACCATGAAGTTATGCATCCGCCAAAGGAATACTAAGCAGCCTTTCGATTCTAATCGTCGCTTGTTGAAAAAGATTCACACCTCTTATAAGCGATCTAAGTAAAAAAGGAAATAAGTTTTTACAATTTAGAACTAGTCATATCACGAATAAATTAAAATAAAATTATAATACTTATAAAGCTGTCAAGTATCCTCATCTCCACTAATTACCATTGAACGTAATCAATATTAGAAACTTCAACGAAAACAAGCATCATCAAGCAAAAAGTTGCTCTCTGCTCGTTCAGGTGGATGCACAGCTGAACGCACACCTAAACGTAGTTTCACGTAAGCAGGCAATAACCTCGACGACCTATAAAGCTCCGTCGAGGTTACCTAACGGACCGAAAAGCTCTGCACCCGGAGTGCAGAGGAATTATCGCGTTCCGCGCGTTATGATAAGCTTCTATTTACACACGGGATCAACGACATTCGAGCCTCAACTCCCGAAACCATCCTTCATGAACGTGGTCAGCTAAGATCGTCCACTATTAACAAATTATTTATGTCCATTTACACTCACTTTACGATCTAAGCACAGTCACGCCGAAACGACAGCTCGACACGAAACTTGTTTATGGCAAATCGTTTCCTAAGTTTATGGACAACACGATCGCACAGCTAATAAGTATGTAGGTCGCTAACTCATCGACGCGTCTGTCTAGGGCTTACACCGTCAAGCGTGTTTCCATGGAACCTAGAAAATTGGATTCCGAGGATTAGCGGCAATTCCGGTGCTCTCATTATGCAACACGTAGCTTCTTAATAGAGTTACCGCACACTCCGTATAAGAGATCACGGGTCGGAAGGGGGCAAACATTCGTTCGAGTCCGGGGAAAAGGGAACTGCAACTTCGCGAAACGGGAATAAGAACGTTCCCCCGTCCATCCTGTTTCTCATTTAACTTTTTTTTCGCCGGCGAAGGCTAATGATAGGTCTTCCCTCGATTCGTTTTGCTCCGTTCCATCGGACGAGGAAATCGGACCGTAGAAATAGGCGTGCTCGAGAGTCCGCTGGAATTTTTTTGTCGGCAATGGGAAATCGTAAACTTCCGAGAGGCCATGATCCTACCGATCGTGCTTCGAATCCGCGGGCAACGAACAGTACATTCGGGATTTGCTCCACTGAATAACGCATACTGTTTCATTATACGCCCCTCGTGTTAGCTACATCGGTCCACAAGCTAACAGTGCACAGGGGCAAAGAGACTCTTCCACTCACGATGCTCGCGCTACCTAGTCGTTCGACACGTGGTCGTTACTGGCGCGCGGCAATGACTATGGGCGGAAGCGAGGCTGATTGCGGAGTGAGACGGAACTATAGAGAATTTCGTTTTCTATCGTTTACCTCTCGCTTCATCGCAATCGGTCTCGCTTCCGGCCTTTGTTATTGCAGCGCGCCAATAGTGACCGTATGTTGAAAGTCGAGGCGGTCCAAGCATCGCGAGTGGAAGAGTCCCCTTGCACTTTTAGCTTGCCGGTCGATGGAGCTAACGCGAGAGGCGTATAGTACGCTGTCCGCACGGTCGCTGCAAACGCACGCCTGCAATTATTCATTTTGTCGGATCAAGCAATCC